AAAAAGATGCTATCTGCATCCAGAGAAAGAACTGATAAATAGAAATATATGTAGAATAATCTCATATACATATATATATATATATATATATATATATACACACCTATTTGTGTCTAATAGTAGCCATCTCTAGGCTGGGGGGTGGGGAAGGCACAGAAGAAAGAAAAAAAAGAAATTGATAATTTTTGTTGTATATTTGAAAGGAAAAGCAAGTTGTGCAAATCAGATATGCAGTTTCATGTATAATCATCTTTTTTATTGTACTGTTATGGAAATGCTTGTTTTATTACATAAATTTAAAAAAAATTTTAAAAAAAGAATGAAGTACAACAGGAGAACAATATAAAAATGACAATAATGTAAATGAAAACAACCTTAAAAGGCATCCAAAAGATTGAGTGCAGTGATCAGTTTTGGTCTCAGAGTACAAATACTAAAATTCTTTTCCCTCTTCTTGGTAAATAAATGGTCATGGAATTGTGGAAACAAAATGTTGAATATGCAATCAGATGCTATCATTGTGTTATTTAACTGTTTTTATTACAAGAAAAGGTTCGGTGGGAAAGGGGTACATATGTATTCTGTGACTGTGGTATTAAAAAGGGGCAACCATAAACCTTTATAAAATTTGTAAAAAAAAAATTATTTCCTTTAATTTTGTATATAGCTTACTTTGTTTGCATGTTGTCTCCCACATCAGATTATAAGCTCTTTGACAGCAGAGACTATCTTTTGCCCCTTTTTGTGCCCCTACCATTTAGCATAGGGCCTGGCACATAGTAGGTGCTTCCCACATATCCAGTCAATTGACAAATCCTGCCATTTCCATCTCCATACTATCTTTTGCATAAGCCCCCTTTTCTCTGCTCATACAGGCACCACCTTAGTGTAGACTATCACCCCTTCCCATTTGAACTAATGCTTTGGCTTCCTAATTTGTTATCCTAACCAATTCTTTCTCCACTTCAATGCATTCTCTGTATAGCTCCCAACGCAATTTTCCTAAAGCAAACATCTTACCGTGTCACCCCAGTATTCAACCTATTACTTCTAAGATCGAATATAAACTACTTTGGCACATAAAACTTTCCCAACCCAATCCTGTAACTAACATTTGTGTAGCACTTTGAGGTTTGCAAAGTGTTTTACATACATCATTTCATCTGATCCTCATGACAACCTATGAGGTAAGTGCTTTCCAGCATTCTTAGACATGATTTCCCTTCATGGATTTTACAGTCTACTGGGGTGGGGAACCTGCAGCCTTGAGGCCACATGTGAAGTTCTGTGAAGTTTAGATTCAGTCAAAGGGCTGCACTTGAGGACCTGGAGGGCCACATGTGGCCTCAAGGCTGCAGGTTCCCCACCCTGGTGTCGTTCTGGCCTTCTTGCTTCTTAACACATAATGCTTCTTATGCTATCTCCATGCCTTTGCACTGGCTATTCCCAGTTTGCTTCATTCCCCACATAACTGAATTTATGACTTTATGGACTTCACCACTGTGACTTATCTGTTTTCTCACTCTGGAACAAGGCCTCTTCTCCAATAAATGGGTTCTTTTTGAGGTCCTCCATTTTGGGGATGAGACCAGGCCAGCCATGCTTCTTTCACTTCCTTCTTCTGCTTCTAACTCTGGACTTTACCACTATACTCCATCATGAGTACCATCTTATCTTCTCCATGCCCCCCCACCTCCATGCTTTTCAATATTCTTTTATGTGTTGTCTTTCCTCCATTGGAATGTAAGCTCCTGAAAGCAGAGAGGGAGCATCTTTATTTTTGTTTGTATCTGTTTGTCCAGTGGTTAGCACAGTATCTGGCACATTATAAGAGCTTGTAAATGATCTTTGTTTGCTTCCCTCCACTTCCTTTCATAATATTTTCTCCTTCCTTTCCTCCATCTCTTGTAATGACTAGTTTCTTTCAAGACTTAGCTCAAGCACAACCTTCTGCATCAGCCTTTTCTGCTCTCCCAGTGCCTTACCCTCTGAGGTTACCTTGCATATGTTTTGTTTCTATCCATATATGTATATGTTGTTACCCACCTTAGAATATGTACTCCTTCAGGTCAGAACCCTCCCATTTTGTCTTTTAATATCCAATACCTTGATTGACTGATAGATGAAAGAAATGTGGAAGAAGAATGGACGGGATGTGTCAACTGATTGTAAAAGGAGAATGAGGGAGAAGGAAATTGAAGATAATTCTGGATTTTAAATCTGACTGGGAAAGATGATAGTAACAACCAAAAATAAGGAATTTTAGAAGTAGGAAAGTTTTCGGTGGGAAGGTGATAAATTCAGATTTGGATATATTTAGCTTGAAGTGTTGGTGAGACATCCAGCTGAGAATGTTCAGCAGGTAATTAAAAATGTAGCACTAGAGGCCAGGAGAGAGATTAGGGCTAGAGAAATTTGGGAGTCTTCTGAATATAGATGTTAGTTGAGTCAATTGGAGTGGATAAGAACACCAAAGAAGAGAAGAGGAAAAAGGCTCGGGATAGAACTTTGGAGACAGGAGAGAAATTTTTAATTGATAAAGGAAAAAGAGGAGTGGTCCAATGAGTTAAGAGCAGTATCCTAGAAACCAAGAAAGAAGAGAGTAGTCTACAGTGTGAAAAGCTAAAGAAAGGTGGAGGAAAATGAAAGCTAGGAAATAGTAATTAGATTTAGCAATTTACACACACTAATGTGTAGTTTTAGGGGTCAGAAGCCAAAATGCAAAGGGCTATGGAGTGATGAGGAAGTAAAATTGCAGTGATTGGGAGGACAGATAGATATAGTACAATAGCTGGAGATGATCCAGGGTCAGAAGACAGGGTTTTGTTTTTGTTTTTTGTAGGGGTGAGGGCAGGGGTAGGGGAGGTGGGTGGTAAACTGAACATATTTTCTAGGTAGCAGGGAAAGAACCAATACGTAAGGAGAGAATGAAGGTGACAAGAGGTAATGACTAACCCGGTAAGTTCCCAACGAAGATTGGAAGGAATTCAATCAAAGCTATAAGTAGAGGGACTGGCTTTGAAAAAGAAGCAGTGCTACTTCATCCTGAGACTAGAACAAAAGAAGAGGGAATCGATTAAGATGTAAAGAGATTTGAGGAATGGATAGGAGAGATGAGAGAACTTATAAATTTGTTTTTTGTTGTTTTGTTTTGTTTTTAACAAAGTAGGAAGTTTGGTTTAGAATAGTAACTGCTGCAAGTATGATAGAAAGTCAGTGATAAATGAATAAAAAGACTGCTTTTCAGCAATGAGCCCAGTAAAGGTTAGGTATCATTAAGAGTGTGCTGGAACCACCTAATATTGACTCCTGATTTTGATCATTAAAATTTTAGTGTGAGCACTTATACCCCAGAAATCAGCAAACACTGCAAATCAAGGCTTGGTTTATTGTTTTGTTGACTGTCTAGATTTAAGAAAGTGATGGAGAAAATGTTAATTATATAGAATAAACTTAGAGGTATGCCATGAGTACATTTTTTTTTCTCCCTGAGAGCCATTTGTTAACCATTTACCAACACACTACTGGATATCATGATTGTGTATTTGATCCAGCCAGCAGAAGCATATATTTTCCTCCTGTAGCATTTGTCAACCCAGGAATAGAAGTAGAGATGGCTCAGTATTAAGGACTAATAGGGCATGAATATTAGAAAGTCACGTGGGAAAGATATTCTAAGCTGAGGCCAGTTCTTGCTCAACTGGTTAACAGTGAGGCCTAAAGTACGAAGTGAGGAAAATAAAAGTATGATAGAAAGTTAATGGTAGATAAATAAAAAGACTTTTGTGCAGCAGTGAGCATAGTAAAGGTTAGATCATTCAGGAGTGTGCTGGAACCAGCTCATACTGGTTTCTGATTTTGATTCCCTGTGTCTTGATTAAAGGGAATATAATTTTGGAAGGTCACTTCTGGGGAAGGCAGGCCAGGGAAGGGGAGTTTTAGATAGCCAAAAAACATTATTTGGGCAGTGGGAAGATAAAAGAGGGGTGCCATCAGAAAATGAGATGATTTCAGAAAGAGAGGTGATATCCTGAGAAAGAACTAATGATAGAGTTGGAATGCATATTGAAGCATACTTTTTTACTTTTTTTTTTGAGGGTTCTTTTTTTGGTCTGTTTTCTTTCACAACATGTCTAATATAGAAATATGTTTTGCATGACAACACATGTATAACCTATATCAAATTACTTTCCTTCTTTATGGTAGAAGGGGGAGGGAATTTGGAACTCAAAATTAAAAAAAAATGTTAAAGATTGTTTTTGCATGTAATAGGAAAAATATTTCAGATCCCTCCCCACTCCCCAAATAAAAGGAAAATATAAAGAACATCAAGACCCTAAAAAATGGGGAGGTGATAGTATATCAAAGATAAATTTCACTTGCTTTACAATTTTGCATTGGGCCTATATGCCTGATAATACCTTTCAGAAGCACTGTATCTCTGGTTGCCATTAGGTGATTGGTGCCTAACTTAAGGTAGTTTAGATTGATAATCAGACTTTGTTTGGGCATGGGTAATTGAAGTAAGGATTTAAAATTGTATTCACTTGTGCTTCTACCCATACATAGATATGTATGTAATGTTTAAGGACATAGCACATTCAATGCTTAACAGCTACTTTCTTCTTGTAAGTAACATAATTTTAAGATTTTTAACATAAAAAGTGCTCCCTTGTTTTGCATAATTTCTACTAATTTAACATTTCCTCTCTTTTATACTAAAAAGGAAACATAGGCAACTTTCTAAGGCTTATAAGCTAAATTGCGGAGAGTTGCAATCTATGTTGGTAGAACTGACACCATACTAACCAAATCATAGATTCTTGATTACTGTCCTCTTAAAAGGGCCAGACCCTTCTGAATGTTTTTTTTTAAATCACCAAAGAAAACAAGTTTTCAACAATGTTATTTCTACCCCCACTGTGTTTGGTTTTAATTCTATTTACCACAGACTTCCTTTTACTCCCTAGGTACTGATAATGATTTCTTTTCACTGATAGATTTCATTATCTCAGGACAGTGAAACACCGCTGATGATAGACTATGCAGCCTCCATGGACAGCTCATATCAACAAGAATTCCCTTCATATTATGAAGAAGTTGTATCTGCTGAGCTTATTGATGAAAATTTATCAAAACATATATTGCCTGCCTTAGAACCACAAGAAAATGAATTTGATACTTGGAAACTGGAGAGGAATGCCAAATCTGAAGAGTGGAATAGTGATGCTCAGACAGACCTGGATAGTGAAGAGATGCCACGGAGTTTATCAGCATTTTGAGAAAATGTAAAGGTACTTCCTTCAGCCTTTCCTCCTTAGACATAAATATCTTGGCAGTTTTAAATATTATAGCTAGTTTTTAGAGATAACTTTAATAGGCATAATCCGTTTCTTTTATCTTCTTTGACAAGATGCTCAAATCTTTCTCATTACATTTTTAGGGCAAATATATTGACTTTATATGAATAGAGACGAGGCCTGTGATTTAATTAGCACAGAGAACCCTAATTTGAGGAATCTCCCTCTACTAATGCAAGTTGGTATCTTCTCTGCAATTTATAGTCATAGAGAGTTGCCTAGAGTACTGAGACATTAAATGATAGGCTGAAGGTCACACAGCCAAATCAGTGGTAGAACCTGAGCCAAGGTCTTCCTGGTTTTTAATTCAGCTCTTTACACTACTATGCTTCTCTTGATTTGATATTAATCATAAATAAATAATAACACTTCAAAGTTTACAAAATGCTTTCCTCACAACTCTTTGGGTATGTAGTATAAGGATTCTTATCCTCATTTCACAAACCAAGAAACTGGAGCTCATAATGATTAAGTTACTTGTTTTTAGTCACCGAACTAATAAGTTTCAGAGTCAGGATGCAAATTCTCTGTACTCCAAATCCAATACTCTTTTTTGTTTTTTTGTTAACCTACATTTCCTTTCCTTTTAAATGGTGCTAGAAGAACAACTAATAGGCTAACTGTCCTTTTACCTAGTAAGTTCATTTTTAAGACAAAAACACTTGCCAGTATTTCTTCTGCACGTGTGATATAATTTTTGCTTAATATTTTGCTTAATATGAATTGTTTTCAAGGATCACCAAAGATTATTTAGCCAATAGTCACTCCATACCCACTTTGACTAACTGCTAATTTTACTATTTCCATATAGAATACCACCTGTATATTTCTTACTTGTCATAGGTTATCTTCCCATTGTCTTAACTTTATTAATCCCACTGTCCTTCCATTTTTATCCTTGTAAGGGGCAGCTAGGTGGCGCAGCGGATAGAGCACCAGCCCTGAAGTCAGGAGGACATGAGTTCAAATTTAGCCTCAGACCAAACACTTGACACTTACTAGCTGTGTTACTCTGGGCAAGTCACTTAACCCCCAATTGCCTAAAAAAACCCCAAACAAACAAACAAACAAAAAACCCCGAAACATTGTTATCCTCGTGATGGTGATAACTTCAATCCAATAAGAACCATACTGAGAATTCCATAGTCCCCTTTTGATCATTAGGGTAATAGATTAATCACCTTAACCTACTGTGTACAATAATGAAAGGATTTTTTTATTAGTTTAGTAAAAACATATAAAACAATGCAAGTGCTGAATGAATGTCAAATAGTATAATATTAATTGTTAAATAATAATACGTCTTAATTATTCAGTGATATAATTCTTTGTACCATAAATATTTGATTGATTCTAGATCTGATAGCTATTTATTACAAAGAGAAAGTTCATGTGGAAAAAAAAGACAATGCTAAAAATATTTTATATCTTAAGTACTATTCAGAAAGGGAACTTAATGTCTTTTTAATTTAGACTGGACAGCCTATTATTTGGTAAAGGCCACATGATCTTTCTCCTTTGAAGCAGACAATTGAAGAGGGTATGTAATAGGCATAAAAATTGAGGAAGAAAAGAAGAATTAATATATCTTGAGATAGATGGTTAGCCAGTGAAAGAACTTTAGGCTTTAATTCCTAGCTCTGAATCTCATTTCAGTGGCCCTAAGGTGATTTTACCTTTCAGGAGAAAAAGGCTTCCAGAGAATTTAAATGTTGAGAATATCAGTCACTTTTCAGTGAATCTTGGTAAGATTCATTTTCCTGATTTCTCTTTCCCTCCTTTTGTTGTGGTAAAATGTGTTAAAATATGTGTTCATTCTTTTTACACCCTTCCCTGTTTTGCTTTTAAACCTGTTGTTAGAAGACTACATTGTCTGTCCAATTTGTGATAACATAATGCTATGGTTGTCTTCTTTCTACTTTGCCAATAAAAAAAGCAGGAGCATGTTTGTGTGTGTGGGGAGGGGGGTGAGAGAGGAGAGAGAATGAAAAATGCATGTGATTAATAAAATATTGTAATGAAAATCTAAAAAATGTATACTTCTTTTGATTGGTTAGCTGCATGATCCAGAGGTTTTGAGTGACCTATGAATACCTTGGAATAGTTTGAGGATCTGTAGGTGTCTAGTGTTTTTTTCTTTCTTTCTTTCTTCCTTCCTTCCTTCCTTCCTTCCTTCCTTCCTTCCTTCCTTCTTTCTTTCTTCTTTCTTTCTTTCTTTCTTTCTTTCTTTCTTTCTTTCTTTCTTTCTTTCTTTCTTTCTTTCTCTGTCTCTCTCTGTGTCTCTCTCTCTCTCTCTCTCTCTCTCTCTCTCTCTCTCTCTCTCTCTCTCTCTCTCTCTCTCTCTCTCTCTCTCTCTCTTTCTTTCTTTCTTTCTTTCTTGCCCTGTATCACATCTTCTTTGCTTGCTATTTAACATAAGCTTTTCAGCTCAAGTTTGTTTAAGTTATGATTGGGATACAGTCTCCACAGCACAGCTTTACCAAGATCCTTGACTTAGTACTGGGCACAGGAAACAAGAAATTGAGAGGATGGCGCAGTGGATAGAGCATTCACCCTGAAGTCAGGAAGACCAGAGTGCAAATCCCACCTCAGACCAAACACTTGACACTTACTAGCTGTGTGACCCTGGGCCAGTCACTTAACCCCAATTGCCTAAAAAAAAAAATTGAGGGGAGATACTGGAAGGTAAGTCTATGCATAATTGCAAAGTATAATGTGCGAAGGTTATCTTTTTGTTCTTATCTTTCATCTTGATGTTAATGTCTTTGGAGATTTTATCCATTTGTTCGTCCACCTATTGAATCTTCTGCTTTCCTGGTTTCCTTTGACTTTCTTACCAACTCTGTTAACTTAGGAGGACTGCTCTGCCAACCAAAATTAATTGCCTACATAAGTAAGTTATTTTTGTCTTATGGTTGTCTCCTACAAGGAACAGAATTAATGTGAAGGAGAAAAGTGTTAGAGCACTCCACCCCCATGCCACCTTAAATTGTACCTTGTGTACCCTAATCTATTTAATGATTAGTATTCGTTAAACTGCATGGTCTTTATCTTTATTTCTATCCTGCAGCAACTTTTCTTCTCTCTTTCTCAGTTTTCCATCTGTATAATGGGGGTAGCAAGTCTTTATGATCCTTTAATCATGAAGTAGGAAAGTGGCTAAACATTACGTAAAAGGCTTTTGTGGCTGTTATTAGTAGTCAGGCTTGATTTGCTTGGGACACTGTTTCAACAGGTACTTGCTTGTTCCATTCTAAAAATTGGCACTTTAGAATAAAGCACTAATTCTTCTTAACTATATGATTTTGTTCAGTCATTTTTCAGTCATTTCTGACTCGTTGTGACCCCATTTGGGGTTTTCTTGGCAAAGATACTGGAGTACTTTGCCATTTCCTTCTCTAGTTCATTTTACACATGAAGAATCTGAAGCAAACAGGGTTAAGTGACTTGCCCAGGATCGCACAGCTAGTAAGTGTCTATGGCCAGATTTAAACTCAGGAAGATGAGTCTTCCTTAGTCCAGGCCTGGCACTATTCACTGTGCCACCTAGCTGCCCAGCTGTACAATCATTTTTACTTTTACTAATATGCCTGCATAGAATAAAAATAGCCAATGATAGTCACCATTTATATAACATTTTAAGGTTTATAAAACATTTTATTTTATATTTAAATATTTACATTTATGTTTAATATTTGCATTTAAATAATAATTTATTTGATCCTAAAATGAGCCTAGGAGATAGCTACTATTATTATCCTCACTTTCCAGATGAGGAAATTGAGTCAAATAGAAGTTAAGTGACTTGTCCAGGGTCATACAGCTGGTAAGTGTCTGAGGCAGGATTTGAACTGCTTTCCTAACTTCAGGTCTAGTGTTCTATCCACTGTACTACCTAGCTGCCTCAAAGGTTTTTCAAAGAACGTATTTGGCAATGCTTAAAGAATATCTTCACTAAAAAAAAAAAAGATTACTGAGTTATAAACTATTACGATACCTATTTGTTTGCCTAGATTTTATATAATGATTTTTGGAATTTGGGAGCTATTTAAAAATTTAAAAAGGATCAATAATGTGCTAGGTGATACACATTGTAGTAATTTTCATTTATAAACATCTTAAAAATCCCAATTAATGCTGTGCTTGATAATTCTCTAAACCTTTATCATCTCTACAAACCAATTTGCTAAATTTTGTGGTTTAAAAAAACCTTTTCATTTTATTTTCTTGAACCAAGAAAACTGTGCTGAGATTTGTACAAAGGACCTGTACGTAGAATATCCTGCATGGAATTATACTGAGTGTATCAAGAAGCTATCATATATATGTTTAAGTGTAATACAGTAACACTGTAGCTACTACAGAAATTATTTCTCAAATTAAGGTCTATCTTTTGGTTTTAAAAAGTGTTAGAAAGACAAAAAAGTTTTTGCCTCATGTTCTGCATAAAAAAATTCATGCATGTAATATAAAAGGTTAAGAACTTGTCCTCCACTCTTATTTTTTCTTGCATACTTTTTCCTTTTACCTACTTATTATTTCCCTGATTTCATCTTTCTTGTCCACTTTGTTCACTTAGAAGGACTACTCTGCCAACCAAAATTAAATTGCCTACTGAGTAAGTTATTTTTAATCATGTAGTTTTCCTTCTAGAAGGCACAGACAGTGGGAGGGAGGAAAATGTTATTATTGAGTAGAACACAGTGCTGCTTTCTCTTCCTTTAGTTTCCTTTTCTCATTTATTTTCTTATGATTCTAAATTCACAATTTCCTTTTGTAGTACAAGGGAATTTAGGTAAAAAGCATCATTTCACACAATAATAACCTAAACAAACTTTATTACTACTCACAAGGGAAGGAGGTGGCAGCTTCTGGCAGAAACTCAGTGTTTGGTTTCCATACCTTAAGTAGCAGCACACAAGATGAGGTAGCCATGCTCCAGTCAAAGGCCCCATGACCCTCAGGATATGACTTAATATGTCTTTTGAGACAAAGAGCCAGTGTGATACCAATGAGAAACTGTTCCATTTTCTATAAGAAGTGAAATTATTTTTTATATTAGCTAATAAAGAGGGAAGAATGTAAAACAAGGCAGTAAGAATGAAGAATAGGTAATAAGAAAATTTACTTAACTCTAATAGTTCCATTGTGGCAAGAGGCTGAAATGGTAGGCTGAACCTGCAGCAGTCAGGCCAGTTTTCACTGGTTAACTCCTTTCTTGTGCCTAAAAGGTATGCCTTAGATTTTCATAATACTTTTTATTTGTAGGTATTAGAGTGTGTGTGTGTGTGTGTGTGTGTGTGTGTGTGTGTGTGTGTGTGTGTATATACATACATACATATATATATACATATATATGTATATATCCACACACAGATATACTCTAATTCTTCTTCACAGTATTCTTATGAAATAAGCATTAGAAGAGGTATTATCCTTTTTTGAAAGTTTTTATTTCAAATGGCTTCATATATGAGTTAAGTGACTTGTTAAAGGTCACACTGTAAGTTGGTACTAGAAGCACAATTGTTTATTACCTGTATCTCTCAATATCCTGGATGAAATGTATACAACTCTTTATAAAGCACTGACTTGCCTAAGGTCATAAAATTAGCAAATGGCAGAGTTTGAGACTCAAATCTAGGTCTTCTGAATGAAATCCGTTTCTATTATATCTGTTTAAACAGTGCTTTTTTCTTTAGAAAAACAGAGCCTTTGTATAGTCAATATAGTCCTAATGTATAGTCCATTAAAAAATGTCGATTGGGACTGAGGGGATTGTGGGAAGATGGAAGCATGCTAGAACACAGAAGATCCCAGATCCCTCACAAATACTCCACTGGGGCTTAGAGATACACCACTTTATTAAGAAATAGATAGAATCACCTCTTTGTCCTGCCACACAATCCAGGAATCCACAGAAGGACCCTAGAATCTTGCAGAGGTCACAGAATAGAAAAGCTGCAGGATGAGGGTGAAAGGCAGAAGGTGGGGGGCAGCGCATGGCAGGAGGAATTATGATGGAGTCCTCACTCTCTGAACTGGCAACTGGCAATGTCCAAGTGCTGCAAGATGGAGCTTTCCCAAAAGTCCCTGTCTGCAGAAGTCAGACAAGGGAAGGTGACTTTTGGATGTTCTGGGTGGGTCAAGCAAGGCATTCTCTGCCTGAGCCAAACAGATCCTGAGCCAGGCCCAACGTGGGGCACAATAATACTGAAGCTCCACCCAGGCAGACTTAAGCATTCTAGGCAGGGTCCAGTGTTGCAACAGTCGCCCCAGCCCAAATGTAAGAGAAAAGCCCTGGACAGAATCTGGTCTGAACAGTCCCTGAAATCTGTGGTGAGAGCCCAGGAATGGAGAAGCACTCTAGACTGGTGAAAGGGAGATGTTCTTTAGTCCTGGGACATATGGCAGCCTTGGGCAGAGCCTAGCTGACTGGCCCACCAAGCTCAGGACTAGGAAGACCCTGCCCACCTTATTCAGCACAGGGGCTTTACCTGACTGTTGTCAAGTGTCAATTCTACCTTTTCAGCATCTCTTGAATGCCCCCTTCTCTCCTCTGATACTGCCCCCACTCTAGTGCAGGCCCTCATTACCTCATGGTCTGCCTGCCTCACAGTCTCTCCCTACTCGAGTCCATCCACTCAGCCACAAAAGTGCTTTTCCTAAAGCACAGGTCTGATCACATCACCAGCCCAGTCAATAAATTTCAGTGTCTCTAAGATCAAATACAAAATGCTCTGTT